TTCTGGGATTGCAGGCATGCACCACTATGCCCAGACTCTGGCTGGCCCAGCCAACCCTGGGGACAGGGCTGGTGTGGCGTGTGGTGCAAGGAATGGAACCACGGTCCCTGCAGTAGCCTACCCTTGTCTAAGTAGGTGCTTTAGTCCACTGAGCTATCTCATTGGCCCATGAAATTACTAAAAATGGAAGTAAAAATATCTGGTTAAGAAAGACTAAACTCTTCTTTTTCCTCTTTTTGTGAAGTAGCTTAGTACAGGGGTTACAAGATCTAGATGGTCTTACTATGCAGATCGGCCTCCTGATTCTCCTGTTTTCAGCCTCCCAAATGCTGGGACTAGAGGTGTGGGCAACCACGTCCAGTCTCAATCACTGTCTCAGAGCAACCTGGGGGCAGGATGGCGCAGCACGCCAGGAATTGAATCCTGGCTGCTAAGCTCTGCCTAAGCAGGTGCTTTAGTAGATTGAGCTATCTGGCCGCCCCTATTATTCCTAATGTTTTTCTAAAACTGGCTTCCAATTATACGCTTTATATTTGATATACTCAAAAACTTATCAAAACCTTTTTTGAATAGGTGAGTTATGGTGAGAATGCCTATCACTCTGGCTGTTCTTCCAAAATATTAAATAAATATATAAATAATTCACATTTTACCCTTTATGGGAACAATTTAAGAAACTGTATTTTTTTTTTCATTTTATGTATTTGATACAGGGTCTCACTACACAGCTCAGACTTGTAGTGATCCTCCTGTTTTCAGTCTCCCCAGCACTGGGATTAAAGGCATGCGCCACCACACCTGGACTTAGTTACAGGTTTAGTGCATCCCGATGACAAGGCTGGCACAGCATTCGGGACCAGGGATGGAACCCTGGCCCCTGCACTTGCCAGAGCAGGTGCTTAGTCAACTGAGCTATCTTGCCAGCCCAAGAAACTGTACTTTATCCATTCAATAGTTTAATACAGAGAAATTTGCTCTTCCTTTCATTCTTCTTCCTCTGTGCTCCGATTATCAAAACATTGGCTGGATGATAGGGACGAGCACACAAGTGGCGTGGCACTGGTGCCACATGCAGCTCTGTATGAGTCACAGAAATGCTCCAGAGAGAGAGAGAGAGAGAGAGAGAGAGAGAGAGAGAGAGAGAGGCATCCAACGTGGGTATGGCAAGGACTCTAGCACCTGGGCAGCCCTGTGCCATTCCTGCACCGCTGCTGGTTAGATTAGGCTGGTGAGAGAATGTGTACAGTGAAGCTGCTGTCAGCATGGTTTTGTGTTGTGAGGAAGGAAGTCCAGTTCTACTTAGAGACCCAGGACCGTCTGGTTGGTTCTCTCTGTATGTGCACTGAAGGGCAGCAACAAACAGGATACACGCAGCTCTGGAAGGAGGGATTTAATTGCAGTACACGATTCTTTTGGACATTTACACTGAGTCATCCGGACCTCAGAGGAAGTAGCTACCCAAAGCACAAAACACAGCTGTAGTTAGGAGGGTCCTCTGTAGCTGTTTCTTTTTATTGGGAGGTAGAGAGGTTCGCTAGGAAATGTACTCTCCATAGAAGGCATGCATAAAACACACAGCTATTTTTATACTTTGCTCAATTTGCTAAAAATTGTTAATAATCACTTACCATCTTTGTATTACTACATGTTTGCAGGACATGCACCTTACCATTGTAAGGGGAAGTTGGTACGTGCATGCAATAAAGTCTGTTTCTTTTATTTATTTATATATTTATTTTACTGTCAAAGAGAATATAAACAAGTTTTAAAAAATGGGAAACAATATAGAATGTTACTAAACAAAATGATAGGAATTCAATAATGCCTGTTATTTTGCACACTGTTGTTTTCAAATTAGTTGTTCAGTTGACCAGATATAAGCATGTTAAAATTGGTCAAAAATTATAAAAAACTAAAAAGGAGAGAGCAAAAACATTAAGCATTAACCGCCCCTTTCAGAAGACCAGCAGAACACAGCAGTACAATCATCCAAGCTGTCCTAGGTACATACACGTATATTTTTCCCTTCTTTCTTTTTTTCTTTTCCTTCATCACGGTTGTTTCTTCCCTTTGAAGAATCTTTTTCCCTTTCACAGTACCCTTTGTACCTTTCAGATCCTACTTACTCTTTTAGGTTCTTACACTAGGGAGACAATAAGACGCTTGTACACATTTCTTTTCTTTGAATCCCCTTTTCTTTCCCTCCCTCCTCCTCTAGTTCTCTTTTACACCTTTTTATAAGAACAAAAACATTAGTTTAAATCCACTAGAAAAAAAGATGCAGGGATGAAAGCTTAATTTATTAAAAGTGTAGTTGGGAATGAACACATTTTTCCATGGAAATGTTACTTAATAATGCACCCTGCTGAACCCCCTAAAGCAGGCCATTTCCTGCTTTTACTCGCGTGGGTGTTTTTATCTGATTCATCCTCTTTCCCCCTCCTTTCATTTCAAATTGCACGGGCCTGGCCAAGCTCTAGGGCTACCTTTAGCTATTGAGTTCTCAAGGAAACGGTCCTCTTTGTGAGAGAATTCTTTCCCTAAATCACAGTATAAATTCCATCAGCATGAAATACATCCCATTTGCCATTAAACTATGGCTATTGGCAAACATTTTTCTTATCTCCAACTGTATTATAAAGTTCTCTGGGAACACGCTTCTACTTTGTCTTTATAATTTTCTATTTATTCATTTATTTATATGTGTATATATTTGACAACTGATGATTGGGTATCTCTCTGATATACCAGATTCTGTACAAGACTAAGGAGATAATAATGAAAACTAAAATATGTCATGATTATTCAGAGATTGAACTAACAATGAATAAGAGGAGAGCGAAGGGCAATAGGTAATTTTAATACAACATGATCGTTTCTCTGGTCCCCAAATGTATACATCAACAAGACAAACTGCTTGGTTATTCTTGAAGAAAGTCAAAAAGACTACTGTAAATGTAGTCCCTCTTGAGTTAGTATTTTCACAATGGCGAATTGGTATTTTTTAGGCAATAGAAGTGAGTGAATCAAAACAATGGTAGCAGCATGGACAGCATGGTGGCCGTAGTGAAGCTGTGTGACAGGCAGAAAAGTTCAGCTCTGTGTGGCCGAGGTGACACAGTTCATAGACCAGGACGGGAGTGGCCAGGAGTTTTGCACCTTACGTTACTCCTAGCAGCTTGCAGAAAATGCTGTCTCTAATACCTTTGCTGATTCTTCAGCCCTGTGCACTGTTCATTGTGTGGCAGGCACCTGTGACATTGGTTGTTTGAACACGTTTTAAGAGGTATTTAGGGGACAGCAAACCAAAGTCACAGAGTTGCAATGTAATACCTCGAATGTTTGATTTCCTCAGACAAGAAGGCGAAATCACTGTTTTACATGACTGTAATCTGACTTTCAGAGAAGTGCACATAATTGTAAAATACTCAGACCATGATTAATTATTTTTTACTTCACTGAATTCAACAAATGTGGCCATCCGTTGGATTACTGTCATCCAATTTAAGCGAATTTTTTTGGAAACAATGTATATGCCAAAAGTGAGTTTATTTCAGTGCCCAATTTGAAAAAATGAACATTGTATAAGATAATTAAGGGAGGCTCAATTACAAAGGATGAAATTTAATGCTATTACTATTTTCTGATTACATGAGGGAAAGGAGAAGGGAGTGAAAAAAAGCTAGGGGGAAAGTCATGCAAGTATATATGCAGGAGGCTGAGGTGATTGTACTAATAATTTCCTTCAGTTTTTTAAAAAACAGCAGTTAATGTTTAGAATTTTCACTTTGACTCTTTATGCTGATATCTGCAATCTAAGCAACTATATCAAAGATGCCAAGGTATAATACAAAACCCATGGTTAAATACCTCTCATCTTGGTCTTCTGAATATGTAGTGTTACTAATGTCTTATCAATTATTATTATACTCTCCTTAAAATAAATTTACAAAAAAAGTAAAAAAGGCAAGAAAAATTTGTTGAAAGCAAGTGTCAATATTCAAATTTCTGTCCAATCTTGCATAACTATGTCTGTTAATCTGAGCAACAGATTTGATGATAAAAATAGGTAATATAACAACCATGGTTAATTTGCTATTTCTGATTTGAAAATCTGTAATGTATTTCTGTCTTTGCATCTGCTATTTGCTTTTGCTTTTGTTTTTACTCTTCAAAATAAAATAAAATTAATTATAAAACAAAATATTTACTGATCACAGAAAACAGTGTACTCTTTTCTTCCCTAAAAAAAATACGAAGAAAAGTTGATACTCTATGTTAGTAGACTGGCTCAGAGATGCAGAGTTTAGTATTCAACATACTTGTTTTTCTAAAAGGTTTTTGTATAAACTATCAAGCGCTGGAAAGATTTTTCAAAGATATAGCCAAAGAAATAGGGACAGATAGCTCAACAGATTAAAGTGCCTGTTTAGGCAGATGCAGGGACCAGGAGTTCAATCCCTGATGTGCTCTGCCAGCCCCACCCCCAGGGCAGGCTGAGATGGTGGTGATTGAGACTGGGCATGGCGGTGCATGCCTATAATCCTAGCACTTGGGAGGCTGAAAACAGGAAGTCACCATGAGTTCGATCTACATAGTGAGATCCTGTAGACCCTGTACTGAATACATTTAAAAAAGAAGCACCACAGAAATTAAATTAACACATTCAACAAAGAAGGAAATTATATTCCAAATTGAATACTAAAACTTCCTTTCACCTTAGTTATTTTTCTTGTCTTTTTTTTACTTATTTTTTTTTGTAACTAAGGCTATTTTCCTACTTTTAGGGATTTTCTAGCTTCTATAGACAAGCATATATGTTTGAAGTACCAAGATCTTGTGTCAGAATTGTCTTTTGAATTTTTAAAAAGGAATAGGTACTACATGGTTTCTAATTTTTTGTTCTGATATTCTAAACTCTAGGAAAATTCTTCAGAGCAAGGGGAATTGGGACCACACCCAGAGCAGGCTCCAGAGAGGAGAAGAGCTTTGGTTCCTACCTTCAATAGGTTTTGGTACAAAATGTGATGAAGGCTTGGTTTTCTTCACTCTGTTACCCTTCATGATTTGACCTTCTTTATTGAGTCCCAGAAACCACGCTCGGCCTGATTCCTGTTGGCGATACAGCGTGGAAGAGTAGATCACGTAGTAGTTTTCAAACACAGATTCTTTAAACTTGCATTCTGGGGTGAAAACATCCTGCAGAGAAAAAGGAGGAAAGGTGGGAGAGGGGGAGGGGGAGGGAAGGGGGAGGGAGAGGGAGAAGGGGAGAGATTAAAAACTGAATAAGCAGATACTTAAATCTAATGGGGCTGAGAAAACACACATCCCCCAGGAAGAGCAAGCAAGAAGGAAAGACACAAAATTTCAGTTAGTGCTTTTACGGACTCATATAAAGACAAGGATTTCCTTTCTAACTAATTTTTATTCTTGTGAAAACTATTGCTCAGACATGAGTCATTCACTAGGTAGCAATCACTGAAGGCTCAGTCCTGAACCTGACGCCAGCATACGATTTCTAAGGGGAAGAAGTTGCCCATTTGTCATCTCTGTGGCCCTTAGCATGAGAAGAAGGCACTAGAATTCATCCCTGGGAATCGAATCAAAGGCAACATTAGAAACACAGGCAGGCACACCAGATGTTTTTGAAAGGACCCCTCTGGATGTGTGGAAATCTGTCACAGAAGCAAAGCAGATCACCAATATGCTTCTGTCTGCCTAATCTCCATGGAGTTCTTTTTAAAATATCTTTAATACATGTTTACTAAATAATCAAACCTCATATATAAATATAAGAAAAAGGCAATAGAAAAAAACATTGCCATTACATTGGAAACTATTCCATGGAGAATGAGAGTTTCAGTCCAAGAGGAAACTTTAATACCTTCTCCTCAGCCCCATCATCTGTTGAGAGACAACCAAAATGTCACAATGTATTCGAAGACACATGAAAGGAAAAACATGGAGTCAGGGCCAGAGTTCACATTTATGGCTCTGCGATCCCCGCCTTGCAAGCCCAAACTGCTCGCTTTTCCTTCCCATGTCTTGCTTAGTGACTTACAATGAAATTTCCAGTCCGTACAACGACATCATACCTTAACACATCAAATGAACAAAATGCATTTCGTGGAAAGGAGAAAGCTTTCTCTTTCTGAGGTAAGCTGAAGAAAAATGTGGTAGTATCTTCTTTGGCTCCAACTAAACAAAAATCTTACACAAACACGTGGTAGTTGTGCTCTTCTGTATTGCATACAGGAAGAATTTCTGTGTGATGTTGTCCCAGCTTAATGTATTTACATATGGACTGGAGTTACCAATGAGTATGTAGAGACAAAGCTGGTAGACACTACAGTCTGATATGGGATCCACAAATCTCCCATTTTCATTTGTGCAGTACTAAGTAATTCATAGATAAGAGACTCCTAAGGCTGCCATGGATTAACAATCTCCTTTGACTTCATGTAATCATAGCATTACTGACAAAAATGAGACTGCACATGTGAAAGTGGAAAGGCACTGCTAGGTTTTAGGAAAATAACAGTACTTACAAGACATTGACATGACTTTCAGTGGAAGCTAAAACTTGGATTTCTCAGAGTACTCAGTTTCATGTAAACTAACTGGGTTAAGAACCAAAGAAGCAAATGGCTAGGGAACCCCTCTGCATGCCTGCCATGATGACCATCATGAAAAACCATGCTAGTAAGAAGTGTTGGCTAGGGCCAAGAGAAACGAAGCTTTCACATTGCTCTGGAGGTGCACAAACACAGGCTGTGGAAAGTAGCCTGACAGCTCCTCAAAAGGTTAAATAGTTACTAGGAGACCCAACATGACTACTTCCAAATATATACCCAAGAAAAATGAAAATACACATCTAGGTAAAAATTTCTACATAAATGTTCATAACAGTGTCACATGTAATGTAGAAAATACAAAATACCTGTCAACTGTGATGTAGTCATCTAGAGCAACATTACCCCCCATGAGAGAGAACAGGGTACAGATTCATGTAACAATGCAGATGAAGCCCAATAACAGTCTGATAAGTGAAAGAAAACACACATGAAGGACACATGTTATCGGATTCCATTTACCCAGAATGTCTGGAATAAGCCCTTCCAAATTGGGAATAGTAGATGTCAAGGTGTGGTGGGGAATGTGGTGTGGTGCACTGGGAAGGATTTCTTTCCGGGGAGAAGAAAATGTACTGAGGTTAGAGAATGGTGAGATTTGTGCAACTGTCTAAGTACATCAAAAGCCACTGAAGTTTATACTTTTAAATGAATGTTATGTGATATGAATTATACATCTACCCAAAAGAATTAGAGAAACAAAGTAACTAAGAAATGAGGGGAGAGAACAAAACCCTTGCATACTACTTGTCCTCCAGCACTGAACTCAGCATCAACCCAGTGTGCTGGAAAGGGGCTCTTCTATGGCCTGGTCTCCATTACTAGGAGAGTGTTTCATTATTGCCAAGGATAGAAATAAAAGTAACACAATTCATAAAGCTGTATCATAAAGTGTTTCAGTTTATGCCATGCATAAGACTGTTTGGCATTACTAGAATGAAGCGCCTGATGTATCATAACTTTATAAAGAAAAGAGGTTTATTTAGCCCACAAATTCAGAGAGGGACAATCTTAATAGCTCAGGGAAGGCTCTGGCAAGGACTCTTAGGTAGATGGAGGGGTGCTGGGATGAGTGACATAAGAGAAGGATATTGGGCTGGGGAGACTGCTTGGCACTCGAAGTGCCTTCCAGGAAGCACAAGGACCTGGATTTGATCCCTGGTACTGCATGCCATGCTGGCCATTGAAGCTCAGCATGGCGTCACATGCCTGTGATCCAAGTGCTGAGGAGGCTGAGGCAATAGGAGAAGTACAAGCCTGAGCTATGTGGTGAGACCCTGTACCAAGTAAATATAAGATTTAAAAAGAAGAAGTAGAAGGAGGAGGAGGTAGATAAGGAGAAGAAATCACTCCTTATACCTGGAAGCCAGACAGGTAGAGATCCCCCAATCTCTTCTGAGGCATTCCCCTACTAAAGATTTCCCACTAAGTTACATCTCTTTAAGGGTCACACCACTCCCCAGAACTGCCACCCTGGGAACACACCCTTAGCGTAAGACTTTGGGGATGCTGAGTTAATTAAAATGTATCCAAAGGGTGCATTAGAAAGAGAATTTCAAGCTGGTTCTTATGTAGGACCATGTTGGAAGATTCAGACAATGTTTCAGTTTTGATACAGGTTTTTCTTAGATTTCTTTTAAAACCCACATTTTCAAAATAATGGTAAAATTTATTTCTAGATCGAGCCCAATACTAACACTATATAAGGCCTAGATGCAAAAGCACCTTGAACATTCAAAGCATAAATTCTAATAGGATTTCAGACATCATATTAGGAATTAGAAAATATATTAAGCAAGGAATTACATATGAATATATATTATCAGGTATATAAAAAGACATAATTACAATGCTAAGAATATATATATATATATTTGCTTAGTATCAGGTCAATTTGCTGACATTTATAAATTAATCAACTAAACCATGTGATAATGAAATAATTATTCCCAGTGTCACAAAAAGTCAGCAGCAGACCAGACCCTTTGCTAGTTAAATAGGCTTCTGGATGCTAGTATAGAATTTCTTCCAGTGCCACACGGATTCCTACTGCATGACCAAGGCTGCTCTGATGCCAACGTTGATTTGAGCAAGCTTTATCCATTACCATAAAGATCAACTCAGCCCTATATAATTACTAGCTTGTCATTTATACACAAGAAAAATAACACTTCTGTTTAATAAATAATGACCTTCCAGGTTTTCATTTAGTTTCACAGTGGTTGGAAATTCCCTCCTGCAAACAGGAAACATCCTGGATACAGATAAAAATTGAGGTCCTGGGGTCTGACCTAGCAACAGCATTAAGTAGAGACTGGGTCTTGAATTAACAATGGAAGATTCTATAAACAGCCTCCAGGTCCCAACAAGAACAGAAAAGTCAAGAGAAGCATCCCATTTAATACTGTTTCAAGGAACTACGCAGCAAAGAGTCAGATACTAATGCAAATGTTCCCTCCTCCCCCGACAAAGATATGTCACAGGAAGATACAGCAGAAGTTAGTGGGAACAATTTTGTGAGTGCCGACAGCCTTGTTTGTCAAGGAAACCTGAAGGTCATCGGGCTAGCTTGGTTAGAGACCCTAAGGGAAACCTTTGCGATATCCTCACAATTTCTATTTCAATATAAAATTGAGGATCAAAGAACTGAAACTGTATTTGCTGCTATCATTCTTTATGTTTGATAAGAAATCAAAATCCTAGCATTGGAGTAACAAAATTTGGTTCTGGCTGTGTGTGTATTTGCTACAGAACTTTAAGAAAGTGGCTGAAGATGTGACTTTTAGATTATTTTAGTGGTAAATAAACTATTTTAAGGAAAATGAATTGATACATACAGAAGCATGTTATATACTTTTAGAAATCACAAAGCCTTCAAATTATCATCATTGATACATTTTCTTCCTGTAGCAAGAAATAGATAATTAATTGCATGACAGTCCATTCTGTGCTTCTGTCATGTTTGCATCTTCTCCCCCATCCTGAAACCTATGCCACAATTGGAGCAAGAAAAAGCCACACAGACACAGACATTTTGAAAGTCATGCAATGCTTTCTGCAGAGACGTCAGCAGCGACATATATTCAGGAGTTCAAAATATATAAAATGAGTGTTGGAATGACAAAAGTCTAAGGCAGGCTCAGAGCCGAAGGCAATAAAATCCTAGCATACCTTGATCCAACGCACACAGTGAATGCAGAGTCAACAGTGCAAGAAATATTTTTTTCTTTTGAAAGAATAACCAGGAGCCACATGCATCTCATAAATTTTGTTTCACTTCATAATCCTAAACTTTCTATTCAGTGTCAGAAATACTTGTCAATAAAAAAAAAACTCATCGCTTGAAATACATCAGGTATGTAGACGTGGCAGGTATTGTTTGTTTCCGATAATTATTACCCCAAAAATGTTCTGTTGTCCATGTTTGTTAACATGACTTTGACTTTAGTGGAATATGAATACTTTGACTTTTTAAAATGAATTTTGATCCTGCATTATTTTAGCTGCAAGTGCACAAATGGGTTTTGTTCTAGCACTATAAAAGCTACTATGTGCTCGTACCTTTTC